TTTCCAATAGTAAACAAAGTCTGCGGAACTTCTGCAAATTCGGCTTGTCCTGTGGAAGTTCCGGTGATTTGTCTGAGTAGTTTACCTTATCTAATCGACTAACCATAAACGAAAAAAGATTTGATGAAGTGAGCAAATCGGAGTACAGCTAAGGTTCAACAATTCTACGTCTTTTGTTGCACGAAGCTACGAAGTTCCGATTTTATTTTTTTTCACGTCTTGATGATGATCGGCGCTGACTTCAGAAAACCCGGGCATAGTAATGTAGGTGGCGACAGAATCAATGTACCGAATCCGGATAGAAGTAGTAGTGCTTTATATTTTTCTCCAACTCACATTGGTGGGAGCAAATTGTAAAGACAGGTCCAGTCTCTTACCTCGACATTCTCGGAACTAGTCAACCAAGTCTTCACAAAGCCTGGTTCTATGATATGTACTGAAACTCCGAACATTCGTAGCTCAGCTCTGAAATGAATCTGCAGTGCAAAGACAACTTGCTGCAGTGGAATATTACCTAATGACTTCACAGTATCCGGTTAATGCAAACTTGGCCGCTGTGTAAGGACCAACTCCAGGCATTCCGATTCGCGAAAATCCACTCGTTACAGTCACTATCCGACCCCTGCAAGCTGTACGATGCATTTGTATTTTCATTATTGCGGAGACTGAACACATGGGCACTACCTGGTTCTCTTAACCAAAGGTTTCAAAGCGTGAGTCACTCGAATCACACCCCATGTGTCGACTTCCGCCACTTTCTTATAGTCTTCCAGAGTAAGGAAATCGTCGAAAAAGGCGGTACCAAGAATGCCAGCGTTATTGACAACTCCGTGCAAACCTGAATAATGGTCTATATGTGATTATGAAGAGAGATCGATCAGTTTCCACTTATCAACAAAATTTTACCTTTTGAAAGAGGCGGGTCATAATCACAAGATGGTATGTGACGAAAGATATTCCTCTTATTTCCTTACTATTTAATCAAAAATCAAGTGTATCGGCGCAAGTTTGGATATATAGTGGTACGAGTAAGCTTCATCGGCTAATATAG